TTCTGGCACAACTTGGCTTTACAGATGGATTGTGTCCGCACACCACATGGTTAGTAATCTAGGCCCGGTTCTGCCATGCTCCTCTCTGGGTGAGCAATGAGGTGGAAGGATGCCAGTCAAACTGATCAGCTAAAGACTGCATCCCATAAAGGGGTCTGAGAGCTCATGTACAGCATTTTGCCTTCTTGCGTTCCCATAGGGCAATGCAGTTCAGTACCATCCCAGATGCAGGGCCATGATAATGTCTCATGTGCCCTCTAATGACGTCTGCCTCACGTCTAGTGCAGCGTAAGATTTTCTTCTGCCACCAGCTGAGCACTCTGTTTTCTGCACAGGGATGGGAACCCCCTCCTTAGGCACGTCTATGTCACAGTTTGACCAGTCTGCCTTCCTCCTGTCTCTCAGTACAATGCTCTGGCCCCTGCATGGCGCCACCTCAGGTCTGGTCTACACCTAAAAAGATAGGGCCACCTCACCACATCACAGGCCTGTGCAAAATTTCATGTCCCGCCTGACATAGTTCGATTACCCCTGCTGTAGATACAGGTACATTGCCAGAAGAATTCCTCCATGGCTATGTCCACACTCGCAGCTTCTTGCACTAGAAATATGCAAATGAGGCTAAGCATGGAATATCGCTGAGCCTCATTTGCATACTTAATGAGCTGCCATTTTTGCAGAAGAGGCTCTAGTGCCAGAAGGAGCTGTCTACATTGCCCCTTCTTGCGCAAGAAAAACCCTCTTGTGCAATGCTGCTGTGCTGATTATTTTCAGGAATAACAGCATTGCACAAGAGGGTTTTTCTTGCGCAAGAAGGGGCAGTGTAGACAGCTCCTTCTGGTGCAAGAGCCTTATTTAAAGAGGCTCTTACACCAGAGTCTTATTGTATCTAATATTTAAATATTTAAAAATCCCTCCCTCCCAGGCTTGGCCCAAACATTAACACAATGAATTATTGAATCACTCCAATTAACTCTGTTAGAATCAGAGTCTTATGAAACTGATAAGTTGCAATAAAATCAATAGGGAAAAATTATGTCATTTACTACACTTACTACATTATAGAACCATTAAAAGATTTACCAAATAACTGGAGTGCATTAAATCAAGAGGAGGAGAAAATGGATCCTCGCTCTTGAGTTGAAGGCTGCCTTTAAAATGACCATAAATCATGTGGTGGACAGCCCAGCTCACATCCTTTCATGAGCCCAGTAAGACAGAATAATATCTACGCTAATTACAAGAGCCCGATGAAGCCCTCTCTCGGTATGTAATTTCATGTACTTCGCCCATCACTACACTGAGCACACCAGGGTACCTGGACTTCCCCTGGAGCCTTTTTCTTATTTTCTCCTACTCTTGCACTGCCATGGAGGGACGGCCATTGGTGGCAGTACTAGTGTATTTGCCACCCTGGAATCTAACCCCTGCTGGTGCAGACCAGGCTAAAGCCTCGGAGGTGTTTGTTATTCAGAGTCCATTAGCATCAAGGCATATCAAATCAGACAGGGTCCAAGCTGCGCTAACTGCTGTACACACCCAGGGTAAGAGACAGTTCCTGCCCCCATGTAATCGGCATAAGCAACGGACACCTTGAGATCAGGTGAACTGCTCCACATCACACAGGACACCACAGCAGAGCTAGGAATCGAACCCATGTCTCCACAGCTGTGCATTAGCCACCAGGCCACCTGTCTTTTGAATAGAATGAGAATGAGAATGAGCTGGGTTCAAGGGAAGCTTCACACAGGAGGCTCATTCTACACAGTTCCACCCTCCTTTGCAGCAGCTGTTTATGGTAGGTTTGCACCAAACTGTTAACGGCAAGCAGGGGTGCGCCGCACACAGGTCAGTTGGTGCTTGCAGGAAAGTAACGTGCAGAGATAATTTGCGGAGGAAGGGAGTGGGTTTGCTTTCTTTTCCTTTCATAATCCAACGTTAATCATGTGGATTTATGTGGGGTTCAGGAGGTTAGTGGGGTTCAGGAGATCTGGCTCGCTGCTCTGCCACTGACTTGCTGTATCGCCTTGGGGGAGGCACTTGACCACCTCTGCTTTGTCTGCCTCGTCTGCTTAGTTCCTGCCCTGAGGAGCTAGCACTCTGTCACTCACTAGTAGGTGTCTATACAGACAGTGCCTAGCACAATGCAGCCCTGCTCTTCATAAGGTGCCACTGGAAATCAAACAATAAACCACAGTGATTGTGAGATGGGAGGTAGAATCAGGGCATGGCTACAATACAAAATCACAGCCACCCAATGTATGTTGTCCTATAGCCTCCCAGTAATCCCATTGCCTATGTGTGTCTCTGCTTTGCTCCTCCAGCTGGTGGGGCAAATCCTCACCAGGAGCACTTGTATCGACTGTACTGTCAGTGCAGGCCTGCCAACTGGGGGTAGGAGGAAGAAGGGCCCAGGGGGAGGAAGGGCGGGGCCCGGTAATTCAAAAGGGCTCGGGCTCCTGGCTACCACTCCTGCTACTGCCCCTGAGCCCTGTGCAGCGCACTCCTAAGGTTACCAGATGGTTTAAAAAAAATACGGAACACACGATCTCAGATGGGTGAGGGGACCGGCCAGAAGGGGAGCTGGTCGGGAAGGAGTGGGGCTGGCCAGGGGATATCGGGGGTGGAGGGGAGAACCAGCTAGCGGGAAGCAGGGCTGACCTGGAGGGGGTTGAGGGGAGTGGGGCTGGCTGGGGGGTGGGGGTAGCGGGATGGGAGGGAACTGGCCAGAGGGGAGCAGGGCTGGCCCGGGCGCACACAGATCCTGGGGTGCTGTCTGTACCGCGCATAGTCCCAGCAGGGTGCACGGGCGAGTCCATCCCGCCCCCGCCCCCGCCCCCTTCCTCTCTACTGCACTCGCTCATGCAGTGTGAGCATATCTACCAGCCAGGCAGTACGCAACTACGTACTGATACTCATGATAATAATAAAAACTTAATTAGAAAATACCGAACATTTATATGGTCCGATATTTTCTCAATTTGTTTCTGAGACAGAAAGCTCAAATACCGGACTGTCCACCTGGCAACCCTACGCACTCCAGGAGGCTCTGAGAGCTGCATGGGACAGAGAGGTGGCAGTGCAGTCTGGACAACGTTGGCCTCACCCCTTCATCTTGAGTCCCCACCCCTTCCATGAGCACAGAGCCAGGCCTCAGCCCCCTATTACTTAGCGGCCCAATGAGTCTGTCAGCCCCCCTGTGTCAATGTGGGGCATTGTGGGTTGCTTCTGACAGCCAGTAACAGTCGGCATAAGCACCGCGGCGCATACATTGGCATTGCATCGACCTAACTGCACCAACATTGGACTCTACGCTCCTCAGGGAGGTGGAGTCGCTTTCCTGCAGACGTAGCTACTGCTGCTTGCTAGGGGTGCTTTAATTATGTCAGTGGGAGAGCTGTCTCCCATCAGCCTAGAGCAGTCACATGGGAGAACCTACAGCTGCACAGATGCAGTGGAACAGCTGGGCTGCTGTAAGGTCCGTAGCTAAACAGGGGCCATATCATGCCTGCATGATTGACACCAATGGGAATTATATGCCTGGGCAGCAGGGGCAGTGGGTGAAGGTAGGGCTGGGGGATGCAAGCTCCTAGCCCTGTCCCTAGTCCCGCCCCTTCTGCCCAAGCCCCACCCCCAGAACCATGGGGAAGTGGGGTGGCACATGGCCTCAGCCTCCCAGGTCCTGGAACACAAGGGAGGGCAGGCAGCATGTGGCCCCAGCCTCCCCGGACCCAGAGCATGAGGAGTGAGGAGGGCAAGCACCAGGGGCAAAACACTCTGCCAGTATACCTACAGCAGGCGTTCTGGGGGCAGAGTGTGGGTGGGGCCATGCCTGGTGGTTTGCGAAGGCAAAGCCTTCCCTTGCCTATGATACCCGCTGCCCCTGCTGGGCAGAGACCACACTATGTCACAGAATACCACCTGCACTTTGAACGGCTTAGATTTGCTGGTCAGAATGACAACTTTGTTGTGACTTAAAAGGGATCCTTTGGTTGAGGTATTTAGTGCACTTTCTCAAGCACATATGAGAGGCAGCATAACCTAGTGGAGTGAGCACAGAGCTGCGGGTCCGCAGCCCCTGAACGAACTCTACAGTGACATTGGTTCCTGCAGCAGTCTTGGGCACTTAGCTTCTCTGTCTCAGTTCCCCATTCACAAAATAGAGAATTTGTACACACCTCCCTCACAGCAGCATGGTGAGGGTTAACACCAATTTTTAAAAAGTTCTTATTAAACAGACTTGATATGCCCTGTTTGAAATGATAAAATTATTTCTTAATGGGCTGCTAAAAGGGCCTGTGACTGACCATATGTATTGTCGCCTCTTAGTTAGATGCATTGAGCTTATCTTGGCCTTTTCATATAACTACTGTTAGCTTCTAATGGAAAATATGCCCAAATTAAACATCCATTGGTAAGTTACAGACTCCTTATGCCAGGAGAAAACACTATTCAAAAACTAATATAGAACACTTTGCACTTCTCTAATACATCCAGTAATTTCAAACCACATCCCAAGTATTAATGAATTAAGCATCAAAACACCCCTGTAGGGAAGAGAGAGGGAAACTGAGGCATTGGTTGGTTGAGTCACCTCAGCTCACACAGGAAGTTGGTGGCAGAGCAGAGACTCAAACCGCCTCCTTCCAACTCCCCAGTCCTATCCTTTCATCTGAAAATGTCATCAGCATGAAACAGGAATTCTTTGTAAAACATGAAATTAGGTGAAACTGAAGACTTTTTGGAGTCTCAGTGGTTGAAACTTTCTAGTTAGTGTCTTTTATACTGCAGAACCCAGAAGAATCTTGCCCCTAGAGCATCCTACCGGTGTCATTTGGAGTCAGTTGTGTCTCTGTGTGCACAAGACATTCCAGTGTTTGAACAGGATTTCAGAATCTCATACACCCCATTTGAACTTCGGTGGCAGAGTTATAAAACCTGAAGCACAAGAGGTTTGTAATCACAACACTGATTCCACCTTAAACCACCGCACCACTACAGGGAGGAGGCGGGGGAAGGCTGCTATAATCCCCCTTCTCATTCTATCACTCAGCCCAAGAGGCTACACGGCACCGTGACGAGAAGCGTAGGAAAAAAGAAAACACAGCAGAGGCGATGCTAGTCCCATCCGCAAACACACACGCTGCTCCTTAGCTAAAAGCCTTCGAGAGGATCATCTTCAGCAGAAATAGGTCATGAATCATCCCTGACACACAGGTCAGCTCCAACACAATTATCTTGAAATACAGCGAACACCATCAATTCACCAGCTTTTGAGGAGGCACAAAGGTTGACAGCGGTATGAGGAGCATTACACAACAAGGCAGCCTCTGGACAGCTCCTCTCCCCAACTTTCTCCACATTGTGCAACCTCCCAGCTGGCAGACGATGGGTGCTGAGGCCACGCAGGTTTGGGTCCTTTCCAGAGAGACAGCCCTGCTGGTATCTCACAGACCCCAGAATACTCGTGCGGCTTTACAGATAACATGCCCAGGAAGTTCTCATTGAAAACAGAGTCCGAGGGACACTTTTATTTCCAAGGGAATAGTCCTTATGACAGTGTCTCTTGCTAAGGTCTGAGGAGGCCTCTTGCCAGTCTGATGGGGACCCCTCCCCCGCAAAGTGGGTTCACTGCTTGCACAAATTTCAACCATTGAGGAAGCAGCCCCGTCTGTAGTGGGCTCGGTGGAAGGGAAGTGCAGGCAGGGGTAGTGGGGGAGCTCCTCTAGTCCAGCTGGGCTGGAGCAATCCCCCCCCTTAATTGGTTAACTGGTTCAACTTCACATTTAACCAGTTAACCAAGTCAACAGGATTTTACATCCCTAGCCTCCAGCCCGCCTTGAAGGAAGGAGATTCATCTCCAGATGTGGAAGACATGGGGGATAGAAATAATCATCGAAGAACAAGTGGAGTTTAAGCAGGTCCCTGCAAGGGCACTTCAGGTATACAGATTTTAAGGCCATAAGTCCCTGCTCTCCTGCACAGCACAGGCCGGAACATTTCCCCTTGCTCTTGCTGGCAGCTCAAGGCAGGAGTTTCCCAGGCCAGGGGAGAACATATTCTATGGGACATCAGTATTACCAAACTGGATCACGTTCCTGGATCATCTAGTCCAGTCACCCGTTTGCAACAGTGGCCAGCCCCAGATGTTCGCAGGCAGGCACAAGATGCTACCCACAGAAGGAAGACGTGGGAGAATCTGCCCCACAGGGGAGTCTTACGGCCAGAGGGAAGGACAGGATCACCAAGTGTGACCTCCTGTACATCACAGGCCACCAATGCACCCAGCACCCGCAAATAAAACCCAGCAACCAAAATATCACATCCCACAGGAGACTAAATAACGTGTCTCGGGCAGAGAATAGGAGGGCACAGTGGTGCACCAGGGCCCAAGGCTCCTGTAGTGGCAGGGAAAGGATTAGGTGATGTACTCAGTGAATCCTGGCAGGTGACCCACTCACACACACCAGGGAAGGTAAATCCCCTTAAGGTCACCCTGGGGGAAGTCTCTTCTCATAACACAGCCCCTTGCTTCCCCGATCATCCTCGTAGCAAATCTCTGCGTCTGTTCCAGTATGAATCCATCTCTCTAGAGCAGCGATGGGCAATCCAGGCGGAGGAGTGGCCCTCCTTCATCTCAGCGGGCCGCAAGATTGAAATCCAGCGGTGGGCAACCTGCAGCCCACACACCCCTTCCCTGTCTCCTTCCCCCATTCCTCTCGTGCACCAAAGCCCTGCACTTATCTACCCCTCCCCCTCTTCCTCCCTCCCGCCACTTTCGGAGCAGCATGAATCAGCCAATTCACACTCCATCCCCACTCCTCTCCGTGATTCACAGAGTTCTAGCTCTGGGAGGGGAGGGGAAGGGATAGAAACCCGTTCCTCCTTTTCCCTCCTAGCACATGGTACTCCAAAAGTGCTAGGAGGGAAAAGGAGGAGCAGGTAAGTGGTGTGAGGCTCCAAAGCCCCATGAGTGTGGGGACTGGAGGGGAAGACAGGGTGGGCGTGGACCAAAGGTGAAATCCCAATGGGCTGCATGCAGCCCGGAGGCTATAGGCTGCCCATCGCTGCTTTAGAGCATGGGTGACCAGAACTGTGCACACTATGCTAAATAACAAGGAGTCCTGTGGCACGTTAAAGACTAACACATTTATTTGGGTAGAAGAGGCATCTGACAAAGTGGGTTCCGGCCCACAAAAGCTTATGCCCAAATCAATCTGTTAGGTGCCACAGGATTCCTCGTTGTTTTTGCTGAAACAGACTAACGTGGCTACCCGTCTGAAATAAGTATTTCAAATGAGGGCCTGTCAGTGCCTTGTACTGTGGCATTAACTACTTCTCTCTTTTAACTGGAAATGCCACATTCTCGCATCAAGTTTCTCTTTTCTCTCCTCTCTCTTCCTTGATCTTTTTCACAGGCAACTGGAGCCAAGTTTGCCCATGTTGTAAGGCTTGCCTCTTAAATCAGACTTTTAAGGAATCATCAGTCAGGGAAGGATAGTAGCTATGAATGAAGGGCAGTAGTTTATTGGAGGATGGCCAGATACTAATGTCTTAAGTACCCGCTTACTTACATAAACTATTGCTCGACTATCTTAGCAAGACAATGTTTGGGAACACAAGAAGGACTACTCCCATAATTCCCCAGGCTTGGCATGGCCAGTCTCCTATGCACCTCATTCATCAAACTCCTATCTTGTGTCACTCCACAGACTGAGTCACCAGGCATAAGCATGGCCTAGTGTTTTATTTGTTCAGTGTATCACAATCCTTCCTTCCCAGCTCCAGGTGATTGGGGTAGTATATAATCCAGGACCTATTTATTTTTAAAAGTGTCTTTGCAGATGACTGCATGTGTGAAATCCTGATACAAAAATATGCCCTGCACTTTTGCCTGAATAGGCATCTGAACAAGGGAGTGTCTACCTGATGTGTGCAATTACAGTGTTTGCACAGGTACAGCTGGGTAATCACACATGCAGAAAGACAGCTATAACTCTCCCTGCCTGGCTAGCCTGTTGCACAGTTATGCAAATTTCATGTGCAATTATAGTAACTGCATGCATGCAAAAGTTTGGTGCACAAATTTGCTCATTTTTGTGCCTATACTTTTGGAACTCAGACTGTCAGATTTTTACTGTCTGTCTCCATATGCATAATTCCCCACAGCCTTCCCCTACAAATATCCAGCAGGGAGCGAGTGAAAAACCGGATCAATGCACTGAGTCATGCCTTACCTCCAATATATGCCACCGAGAACCCCCTGTTGGCCACGTTTCTGTCTGTGTGGAGGACCAACAGCAGTTTGTTTCTACTGGATGTTATGGGAGACAGCATCTCTCTTCCACACCACTTCCCCAGGAGGGAAGCTTTCTCAGTGCCTCCATCAAATGCTGCCAGATGGTCATAATCACAGCCATCTGTTAGGCTGTTCCGCCCCTCCAGAGCCAAGTCCAGGAAGAAGACTTTGATTCGGTATCCTGGGGGAAGCTGGATGGTCCAATGACATCTAATATTGTTGGGGTAAAAGCTGGGATATTGAGGACTGGAGAAATTTCCTTTGATGGCTGTGTATACTTCCTGGCATTCGCCTGGTTAGAAAAAGAAAATACATTGCCAACCAAACCTAAACCTCTGGATGTAGAGGGAGTAGCTGCTAGGGGTTCCCTTTATTTATTGCTAAACTGTAAGGCAACAATTCTTTTTTCTACATAAAAGTTTCACAGCCACATGCTGTACAGATCTGCCCCTACATGTTCAGAGTTAGGTGGGGTGCCAGCTGCACACTTGCGGCCAACCTTTTCAACTGAAGACATCAATGTGCCTTGGCAAAGAAGTCAAAAGGATCCTTAGCCACAATCTCCAGACAGGGAAACTGAGGCACAGAAGAGTTAAAAGCTCACCATGTCACATGATCAGGACGGAGGGGGTGGGACATGCCTACAGGTCAGAGTCAGGCCTGCATTACCTGGAGCTCAGTGAGATTAGGACTAAGATGGCATAGGTACTGTCAAAGCGGTGGGCAAAGGCTTTGAACATAAAAACGGCCATATTGAGTCAGACCAAAGGTCCATCTAGCCCAGTATCCTGTCTGCTGACAGTGGCCAATACCAGATGCCCCAGAGGGAGGGAACACAACAGGTAATCATCACGTGATCTCTCTCCTGTCATCCATTTCCAGACAAACATCCTGGCTCATAGCCATTCCTACCCATCCTGGCTCATAGCCATTGATGGAACTGACCTCCATGAATTTAGCTCACTCTTTTTTGAAAACAGCCCCTGAATGGCTTCTGCAGCTGGCTTAAGAGTGAGTTTGCTGACTCTCCCTCCCTGCCATGCAGTGTAGCCCACTTGCTAGCCTGCCATAGCCCACTTGTGCCTGTTAACTTGCGTGGAGCCTGGCTTCTGCAGGCTGGATTCCTGACCATGCTACCCCATGGAGGTCAATGCGGAGCTTTGCCATTGACTTCAAGGAAGCAGGCTGCACCCTTCAGGGAGGGTGGCTGGTCTTGAAGTTAAGGCCTTGGCCTAGGCTTTGTAGGTTCACTTCTTGGGCTTCCTGTGTACCTTTAGGTAAATTACCCAGGCCATGTCTACACTAGAAAACTAGTTCAAAATTAGTAAATTCAACCTTACTTCTGATTTAACAAAATCAAACCAGCATGTCCACACTATGGGGAAGCCTTGAAATTAGTCCAAGGCAGGCTCCCTTAATGTGAATGCTCTACCTGGAACTTAGAGTCCTGGGGGCGGGGGAATTAGTTTGAATTACTCTGGGGAGTAGTTATTTTGAAATAGCAGCACTGTAACACCCACATTACCGCTATTTCAGAGTTAGCATTTCTCCTGATGAAAAGCAGGAGTATAGATTTCAAATCCTGCAGCCCATTATTTCGAAACAGCGTGCTTATTAGTGTGGACGCTCCACTTATAAATATGCCCTTGGAGGGTTATTTCGAAATAAAGTCCTAGTGTAGAATAGGTCTCTTTGGATATGTCTAAACTACATCCCTCTGTCGAAAGAGGGATGTAAATTAGGCAAATTGAAAGTGCAAATGAAGCAGGGATTTAAATATCCTGCACCTCATTTGCATAATCATGTCACAGAGCTTTTTCGAAAAAAGGTATTTCGAAAGTGAAAGTGCCATCTAGACGCAGTGCTTTCAAAAAAAAATCTGAGGCGTATGGGATCTTTCGAAAAAGGTTTTTTTCCCGAAAAAAACGCGTCTAGATGGCGCTTTCACTTTTGAAATACCCTTTTTTGAAAAAATGTTGTGATGCAATTATGCAAATAAAGCACAAGATATTTAAATCCCTGCTTCACTTGCACTTTTGATTTGCCTAATTTACATCCCTCTTTCGACAGAGGGATGTCATCTAGTCATAGCCTTTGTGTCCCATCTATAAAATGAGGCTGATGCCATTTCTTTATGGAGGGGTGCGTGTGCTCCATTAGGCTTTTGGCAAGGCTTAGCTGCTACTGTGGTGGGGGCTGCAAAAAGACCTAGATACAAATGACTTGCTCAAGCTCATGTAATGAGTTGGGGAACAGGTGGGGAGGAAACTCTTGTCTCCTGAGTCCCAGTTCAATCACTCTGCCCAATGAACCACGCAGCCTCTTTGGAATTAAGGCCTGAATGCTCTGAAATGTTCTTTTTATTTCAATGGCTCTCTCCCTCTGGGAGCCCCTCATATACTAGTTTAAAATTCACAAGCACGACACCAAACCATTTCACATGGCTACCCACATGCAGAAGAGTCTGGCCATTGATGGAGGAACCGTGACTCTATATCTCCTTTGTGAGATCAACACTCTGAGACAGTGTAGGGGAAGGAGAGATCCCACAAGGGCTTCCCATACATCCAGTAATTTACTCTGGACAAGCAGTTGCCTCCATACCTGAGAAAAAATAGGCCTTGAAGCCTCTCCCTCCAATGTTGAAGTCTGATTTGAACACCACCTGGAGCTCGTGCGTGGAAGAGACAATATCTGGGGGTTTCATGTTCCCACAGTAATGGCTGAGATGCGTCTCTCCCATTGTGGGCCCATCATAGACGGCCACATAATCAAAATTGCATCCTGCATTGTTTTCCATCTGAAAGTCAACAAAAACCAGCTTGATGACGGAGTTGGGCACTGCCCGGATGGTCCAGCGGCATTCGGCGTTGTTGGGGTAATTCTCAGGGTAATCGGGGCTTGTTATCATGCCAGAAAGGCCCGTGAGCACTCCCCCACAAACATCTAGAAACAAACACAGATGGGTTACACACATAGCACATTACAGGGAAGTCCTATAACCCAGAAAGGGGACGGAGAACATCCACACACATGCCCCCAACCTCAGAAAGAGGAACAAAGGAGTCAAAGAAACAGCTTAGGAGGGTAGAAGGCTGTAGGTTGTCTCCTGCATTAAAAAAAGAGGTTTCTTGCAAAACGAGCAGAGCAACCCAAACTTCATCCCACTTGGAGACTGGTGATGGGCCCAGCAGATTCCTCGGGCTCCTCA